CCGCCCGGGAGAGCCCAAGGGCGCGGGGCACTGGACAGCTCCTGGGCCGCTGTTTCCTACGCTGACCGCACGGGACCTTTGTCTACAAGGGCTCATGTCTCGGGCAGCGGCGGAAATCACATGTGCGACAACTGATTTCACCTCAAACCCCAAGTCACAAGTTGGCGACACTGAACCAAGACACGGGAACCAGTAAATGCTGGCATTCCCTGGCTGCCCACTGTCTCCATCCATCCTTCTGTCATGTTAAGGGAATAAGATCCCTCCCTGCCTGAAGGCGGAGGAGAGGAAAAGGAAAGGACGAGGGAAAACCGTGCCCTGCACCCAAGTGAACTCAGGCTTGAGGCCCAACAGTCTGAATGACGATGCTCTATCTGCACAATCACTGTCCCCAGTGAGACAAATGGAGGAACTAGGGCACTCCCAGCCCCAGCCGCCTCCACACCATCTGCTCAGCCCCGGGGAGCCAGGCGATCCTAAGGGCCCAGGGCCTCCCACACCTCGGTAGTCCTGTGATCACGCCACTCCCCTTCCTGCCTCCCACAAAGGTGTGGTTCAGCTCAAGGAGGCCTACCTGGGAGAGGCTATACCCTTTCCTTAAGGGCAAACCCAACGGCCAGGGAGAGGCCAAAACAGGCAGGGACATTCTGAGACGTTACCAACATGATTCAAGCTCCCGCAGTGAAGATGGGCTGCTAGTTAGAGGCAGGAACAGCTGAAGAAATGAAGCGGTAATTCGGAGGCGCGATGGAGGCCCAGGCTTGCAGAAAGACCATGAAAGGGCCACAGGCTGACCCCCACAGACCCTCGGGGCAAAGGCCCAAGAGCAGAACCAGAGGTGTGGCTCCCCTTCCCGTCAAGCTCCCTTCCCAATAGGACTGGGGTCAGCTCTGGGGTCAAGATTCTGGGGAGCCCTGCTCGCTCAGAGCCATGCCTCCTCACCCTGCCTGGAAAGAAGACTCCCCAGGGACACACCCCCCCCAGCCATTTCCACACTGTCTCAGGGGACAGAGAGAGGGAAGCTGGAGGCTGGTTCTCCATCAGCTCAGCCTCCTGGGGTATGGCTGGGGACAGTAAGGACACTCATTTTGTTAAAGATTTTCCCCTTCCTTTTCTAGGTTTCTGTTTTTATATTTTTCTTAGCAGCAACAGAACAGGGAGACAGTCTTGAGGTATTTTAAAGAGGTTTTTTTTTTCTTAAAAAAAATAATATAAAGTTATAAAAAGCGGCAGCAGCCTGGGGCCCGGATCTGGAGGGGAGGAGGTGCTGGCGGCTCCATCGCAGCGGGCAGGCACTTTCTCGTTAATGGGCTTTTGACTGCAGGGAGACAAGAGGCGAGAGACAGGGTCAGGCTGGGGGCCTGCGGTCCTCCTGCTCGGCCGACTGTGTGGAGCACAGAGCTAAGGCCGGACTTCCCCCGCTGGCCTGATGGGGAGAGCTGGGCCAGGAGGAGGCTGAGCGCCAGGCCGCAGGGCCGGCCCGGAGAACAGCCGCACACACGTGTGTGCCATACACACTCGGGCCCTGGGCAGATGTCACACTCACCACTCTCACACGGGTACGAGGTGTTGGCATGCATCTGGCCCATGCCTAACCCAGGAAAGCATCCCCTTCCCATGCCAGTAACTCCCTACTGGCTGAGAACCTGTGACAGATCCATGCTACGTCCGGGCTCCATCAACAGAGGAAAAATTTAAAAAAAGAGCTGGCTGCTGGCTTTCCCAGAAACCCTGAAAAACCTGCCTGGCACCCGAAAACCTGGAAGTGGGTATGTGTGCAAGGTGGGCATGCACGCCTATGGGGACCATGAGCTTTGTCCCTGCCCCTCCATGCTGGTGCCCAGAGGCAAAAGCAATGGGCGAGATGGGCCCAGCCACCCTGCTGGGCAGCGGTCAGGCCACAGCTCCAGGCTCACGCTCAACCCACGCCCAGAGCTCATGGAGACACGCTTCCTTTCGTTCAGGGGCAGAGGTAGCTGCAGTGCTCAAGGCCACAGCCAAGTCAGAGAGTGGCCCTCTGATGACAGCACGAGTGGGTGTGGGAGGGGGAGGCAAAGGCAGCCCCTCCTTCGCCTGAGGGAGCGGGCGGAGACAGTGAAAGGCTCATGAAGGTAAAGCCGGGGTCACCTCGCAGTGAGCTGCCCCACCTCTCCCTGGCGATGGCCCCCTCTCCTCCCCTCCCTGCGCACCCACTCACTCAGCACCTGTCCGCGTCAGTTCCCACCGCACTCCACCCTCACCCGTGCTGCCCCTTCGCTGCCCATGCCCTGCGGGAGCTGGGCGGGTACCTTCAGTGCAGAACACTTCTCCTCAAAGGCCATGGCGGGCCCCGGCTTCTTGCGGCGCACGGAGCAGGCCGCGTCGGCGGGGGGGCCCGGGGGGCAGTGCTTGGCCTTCACTGGCCGGCAGTACGTGGCCAGGTTTTTCCGCTTCTTGGCCGCCTCCTCCTCGGAGAGGCAGGTGCTCGGCAGGGCCTTGGCTGGGTGGCCGGCCGCGCCCGGGCTGTCCAGCTGAGAGGCCTTGACCGGTGTGGGCGGCTGATGAGGGGAACCCCGACAGTCCAGGGGCCCGGCCCGCTTCACTCTCGGCCCCACCGTCCCGTTGAGCCCCACGCCCAGCGCGGTTTTAGTCTTGGCGGAGAGGCCCCGGCAGCCGGAGGGTTTGCCTTTGCCCGGGGGCTCCAGGATGCAGGTCCGTTTGAAAGTCGTGGGGCCGGGGGACAACTTTCGCTTTCGGGAAGGCGCCTCCACTTCGGCCCCGTCCTTGCCTTTGGACGACTTGCTGGCCTTGGAAGGCGGGAGCTTGCTGAAGGACGGCGAGGGCGTGTTGGCAGGCAGTGGCGAGGTGATGGCCTGGCTCCCGCCCATGCACTCCGCCTGGCTGCAGGCGGCTGCCACACTGGGGGAGCCGGCCGGGTAGCTGGGGGCCAGGCTGTCCTTGGTGGGGGGCGTGGAAGCTGGGCAAGCAGGTCTGGGGGGTGGGCCCGGAAGGTGGGGGCAGCTGCCCATAGCGGCTGGGCTCGGGGGAGCAGGGAGCAGGGAGCTGGCAAGGTGGGATGGAGGCTCGGCTGCCGGTGGGATCTTCCTGCAGCAGAGAGAGAGCCACAGTCAGGTCAGGTCAAGCAAACCAACACACTCCAGCCTCTGCCCCACCTAGAAATGGCCCAGAGCCCTGGCAGTGCTGCCATCTGCTGGGAGACGCTGGAACTGAGGGTTAGAGAGAAGGCACAGGGACAGACAGGCAGGAATGAGCCAGGATAGAGACCCATTAAGAACATCCTTTTAAATGTTGGAGCAGCCCCTAATCCTAGTTTCCTAAAAGGTGCTGGAAGTATGGGTATGAGTGAGTCACTCACAGACCCCATTCATGCCCTGCGCCAGCCCAGCTCCGGGCTGCCCAGTCCCCCCACCCTTTCCTGTAGCCGGGGTCTTCCTGGCCAGCAGCCAAGCCACACCCATGGGTCCATGTGAAGAGCGAGGGCATACGCCTGGGGCCTGGGGAGGGAACTCACTTCCACATGTGCGAGCTGAGGTGCCTCTCCAGCATGGAGCTCAGCGCCGAGCAGAAGCGGTCCAGCCTGCGGCTGAACACGTAGCACCCTGGACTCACCAGCCGGCTCCCAAAGGTGCAGAACTGGAGACGGAGGGAAGGCACGGGATCAGTGGGCCTGAGGTGCAGAGAGGGCACCTACCTGCACACAGGGTCTGACCCCCTGCACACTGTGGGCAGGGAGGGCTGGGCCACCCCCACCCGGGTCCCCGCCCCAGGTCCTTACCGCCTGTGGCCTGGGGGGCCGGGTGGCATAATGGCAGTCAGGGGGGAGGTGGAGGTCATCAGATGTCCCCTCCTCCTCACTCTCCTCGCTGGAGGCCTGGGCCCCACCCCGGGGCAGGGGGAAGGGGAACAGGCCTGGGTCCCCATCACCACCACAGGGGCCTTCATCATCCAACTCACTCTCAGAGGAGGCCCGGGACCTGGAAGGGCCAAAGGGGATGTGAGGGCGATGGGACAGCGTGGGTCAGGGTGGGGGTATCCCTGAACCCGCCCAGCTCAGAAAGCCAGGGCAGACACCCTGCTGAGCCATCAGACAAAGAGGAAGGGAGGAGAGGAAGGGAGGGAACCACAGAGCTCACAGGGTGAGAGGCAGAGATCAGGGCTGCGGCTCCCGGGGAATTCTCTCCCCAGCCCTTCACTTCCCAGGCCCTGCCTCCTTGGGGGAAATTGCTCCAGATTCGCCTCCTCCAGAAAATCTTCCGAGTTTAACTGCACCCAGCTCTGGTCAGCCCCGTCAATTCTCTCAACCCCCTTCTCGCATCACACATTCCTGTGCGCCTGTCTGGGAGCTGAGCCTGTGTCTCGTGTCTGCCCGTGTTACAGGCAGAGGCGTGTGTCTCCTTCCGCAAGGCAAGCTCTCCCCAGGGTCCAGCGCAGCCTCTGCACACGAAGGGGCCAGCGAATGAATACACAGTAGGACCGCCTTGCCCAGGACCCTGACCCTTTCAGCTCCCTGACCCTTTCGGCTCCCCAGTGCCGAGTGTTGGCCTGTTGCAAGCAGCTGGGAAACCGTTCTCATCCTGGGTGTTGGAACTGGCACACCAGAGGCTGGGGCACCGTGGTCGGCTTGGTTAGAAACAGGGAGTCACCCACTCCCGCACCCACCAGGGCCCCAGGTCTCCCCCCACACTCGGGGCGGAATGAGTAGCACCTTCCAGCGCGCTCCCTGGGGCTGTCTCCAGGGGTCCCTGATGGCTTGGGGCCGAGTGTCCCCAGGTGAGATGCGGCTGGGTCCTGGACGTACCTGGGCAGCGCACAGTAGGGATAGGTCTGCTTGGCACGAGCAGAGAAGGCGCTGCTGGGAGCAACCGCTGCTGCCACAACCGGGGCTGAGGAGGGGGGCTCCTGGAAGGGGCGCTCGGGAGCCGGCTCCTTGCGCCCCGGGCTCTTCTCCTTCGGGGACTCCCCTTTGCGGGAGTTGGCCTTCAGCTCTGCCACCAGCACGTCAAAGTCCTTAGCCCGGCCCTGGACCTCCCGGCGCTGGTGCACCGAGTGGATCTAGAACACAGCAGGATGGAGGGGTGGGGAGGGGGTGTGAGCTGAGCAGGGGTGAGGGACAGCGGTGTGCTCTGGCCTGGGCAAGCAGAGAGAGAGGGGATGTGAGTGTGTTTGCGGGGGTGTCTGTGTGTCTTTGTTTCACTCCCCACAGGACCAGAACCCTCCTTGGAATTGGGGGATCTGGAAGCCACCCCTGGCCTGCTGCCCCCACTCCAGGCCCACGGCGGGCACCCTCCCCCCCACCAATGGGAACAGCTCCATTCCTCTCCCTGCCCAGGGCCCAGGTCTGTGCCATCCTCCCTCCCTGTGTGTGTGTGTGTTGGGGGGAGTTGGGGGAATGGGGGTAAGGGGGAGGGTTACCTTGCAGGTCAGCAGGCGGGTGCAGATCTTTTTGGTCTCTGGG